GACCTTTCTTGAGAAGGGACCCTGAGTTCTGAGGGTCACCGGACCCGAAACGTTAACTCTAATTTTTTCCTTCACAGATGCTACCAGCCCTGCTGAGCTTTTCCAGCAACTTCTGTTTTTGTTCCTGATTTACAGCATCCGCAGTTCTTTCACATACTCTGTTCGTTGCCAAAGCTGAAGCGCGGGCATCTCTCTAATTATGACATTGGTTGTGTAATATGGCCTTTTCCCTTCAGGACCAGCTGCGGCAATGTCTGAAGCGAGTGACGGGTGAGGACATCCCCAATCGGGCCCAGTGTTTTCAGTGAACTTTTTGTCCACCGCCATCAGCTCTCCCTCCTCTGCCTCACATCCTCCCATGAGTAATAACACTATCTGCTGCTTGGGGGGCTTTATAATCCACAGGATTCAACATCGAGTTTAAATTTTTTAGAGCAGGAAAACCTCCTTCCATGTCTGTTGCCCTCTCCACTCCACTCCCCAGATCCTGTCATAACATGGAACATTCCTTGTTCAAATCTTACTTGGGTCCCTCCACAGCTCTTTCTCCAGTACGTCAATGACGTTATTAGTGCTGCTTGCCCCTCTCGTTTGAAATTAGAAAAAGTATCAATTTTGCTTCCAATTTCTGCCCTCACATGGTCCACCTCTGGCTCCATCCCTCGTCAGCATCTGTTTCCATGTCTGGAGATAGGCTGGCCACCAATCTCCACTACAAACTCACCGACTCCCACAGGTACTTGACTTTTTTAAAAGTTCATTCATGGAATGAGGGCATTGCTGACTAGGCCAACATCTATGGCCCACCCCTAATTACTCAGAGGGCAGTTGATAGTCAAACATTGCTGTGGGTCTGCAGTCACACGTAGGCTAGACCAGGTAAGGATAGCAGTTTCCTTCCCCAAAAGGCATTAGTCAACTAGTCAGGTTTTCCCCAAGAAGTGACAATGGATTCATGGACATCATCAGACTCTTAATTTCAGATTTTTATTGAATTCAAATACCACCATCTGCCTTGGCGGGTTTCCCTCTGTAGTCCTTGGAACATTACCTGGTCTCTAGTTTAACAGTCCAGTGATAATACAACTAGCCCAGCACCTCCCCTTTTACATCTGTACATGCTCACACCCTGCTTCCTGTAAGAACTTCATCCCATTCTCCCAGTTTCTCAGTCTCTGTCACATCTGTTCTGACAACGCTACCTTCTGTGGGGACAGTCTGAAAAATGTCTATTTTTTTCCTTAATTGAGGATTCCCCACTACAGTGGTCAGCAGGGCCCTTACCCATGTTTGACCCATATCCCGCACTTCTGCTTTCCCTTCCCTCCTATAATAATGATAGTGTCTTCCCTGATGCTCACATACCACCCAGCAGACATCTAAAGGATTGTAAGCCACCATTTGTGACCCCTTCAACAGGATGCCATGTCCAGACACACATTCCCCTCTCCTCCATTTTGCAGTGGCCATTCTTTCTGGGTCACTCTAGTATACTCCTTCATTCCCGTAACACCTTCCCATGCAATCACATGTCTGTTTACCACCTCCCTCCTCACCATCCAGGTGAAGCAGTTATTTATCTGTACTTCATTAATCTACTGTTTTCACTGTTCACAATGTGGTCTCCTCTAAATTGCGGAGATGAAGTGTAGACTGGTTGACTGCTCTGCAGAGCAACTACGATCTATCTGCAAAAATGGCTGAGTTTCCAGTTGCTTGCCACTTCAACACAGCGCACTGTTTCCTTACCAGCATTTCTATTGCACGCCTGCTGCAGTGTTCCAGTGAGCCTTACTGCAAGCTTGAGAAACAATATCTCATTTTCTGCTTGGGGACCCAATAGCTTCTAGGATTCAACATCAAGTTTGAAAACCTTAGAGCCCGAGTCTATCCTTCTGTGTTTTTAATCCACCCCAGACTTGGTCCTATTAATGACATGGGTTGCTTTTAGTAGTCACCCATTCTCATTGTATAAGTTGCATTCAACGCTGCTTGCTCATTTTCTCACTCTTAGCTCATCACTTATTAAACTTTTCTTCAGCCCTGACCTGCTATCTGTAATCACCTTGTTTACCTATCCCTTTCGAATTGTCTCTCTGGGCTGTCTCCACCTATCATTGAGTCATAGTCATACAGCACAGAAACAGATCCTTCGGTTCAACCAGTCTATGCAGACCATAAACCCAAACTAAACACCTGCCTGCACTTGGCTCATATCCCTCCAAATGTTTCTTATTCATATACTAAATGACTTTTTAACGTACCTGTATCCTCATCTACCACTTCCTCTGGAAGTTCATTCCACACATGAACCACTGTGAAAAGAATTGCCCCGCATGTCTTTTTAAAATCCTTCTCCTCTCACCTTAAAAATATGCCTCCCCAGTCTTGAAATCACCCACCCTAATGAGAAGACAACTGCCATTCACCCTATCTGTACCCCTCATGATTTTATAAACCTCTGTCAGGTCATCCCTCAACCTCCCACACACCCCCGCTTCAGCATAAATGCCACTTTTCCTAGCTACTAACCATTCTGATGAAGAGTCACTAAACCCTGTAAATTCTCCTCTCTACCAGCAAATGCTGCCAGACCTCCTGAGTTTTTCCAGCAATTTCTATTTTTGTTTCTGTCATTACATAGGTTGTTTTCAGCACAGCTAGCCTGTTTTCATCCACTCATAGCTCCCATTATCACTTATCTAGTTTTTCTTCACAAACAAAGAAATTGCTGGTGAATCTCTGCAGGTTTGGCAGCATCTGTGGAGAGAGATACACCATTAATATTTCAAGTCCAAAATGATTTCAGGTTTCCAGTATTCAGCTTTTATTATAGCTGATAAAGCTATGTGGCCCCTGGTTATGGGGTGTGACAAGATTTGTTCTGTGGCTTTCGTCATATTTTACCCAATAGGATAGCACTTGTCCTTTACTGATTGGCTGTCGATGAGAGTAGTCTTAAGTATTATAATGTGTGAAGTTTCATCTTGCTGCTCAGTGCTGCCCCATAATAAGAATAGCAGTAGCCACCAATTCAGCCATTTAATAAGATTATGACTGACCTTTGATCTTAACTCCATTCCTGCACAGTTCCCAAACTTGGTGATTCCCTTGAAGCTCAAAAATCTATTAACCTGTTTCTTGAATATATTTAATGATCCAGCTTCTGCTGTCTGAAGTAGAGAATTCCAAATATCTACTACCCTTTGGATGAAGAAATTCCCCCTTATCTCAGTCTTAATTATCAAACCATCATTGTGAGACTGTGCCTTCTGGTTCTAGACTTTACAGCCAAAGCATGTAATCTTTCACTATCCATCCTGTTAAGCCCCTCTGCATTTTGTTCATTTCAATCAGATCATCTTATTCTGCTAAAATCTGGAGCGTAGAACTAATCTTCTGAACTTCTCATAACACCACCCAGTCACTGCAGAAGTTAATGCAGTGAACCTCTGCTGCAACAACAGTAGATTATGGGTTAATTTTCAAATGCCAGTGTGGAACATGGGCAAGACTGATGTTATATTCCATTACCAAGGACATGTGTGGAGCTGAGGCCTCATATATATCCTCAGAGGTGGAGTAAACCTAAAGGATTTCATCCTAAGTAATTATCTCAATCTTAGCATTGAAGGAGAGTTGAGAAATTTTCAACAGTTTACAGATTTTCTTTTATTCTTGGTAAGACTGCCTCTGGAAAATAATCGTATTTTGTAGTTAATGTTTTATGACTCAAGTGCTGAGATTAACAACTCTCCAACTGTTTTGTTTCCCCAGAAAGGTCCCGAGGAAAGTACTCAGCCAGCTGCATCACTGTGATTGTGGTGTTGGTTGGCCTGCCTCTTTGGTGGAAGACAACAGAGACATATCGTGCCTCTCTGCCTTACAAACAGATCAGTGAACTAGATATTCTCTTGGTAAGACTGTTTCAATGGCTGTACATTGGACTGTGTCATATTGTAAGATGTGAATGTGTATTTTCCTGTCAGGGCACTATTGATTGTCAGCCATGATTCAGTGGGTAGCACCTTTGCCTCTGAATCAAAATATTCTGGGTTCAAGTCACATTATAAAAACCTGCTGCAGGCTGAGGGAGTGCTGTTTATCAGATGAGGCAATGTCTACACTTTAAAAGATTCCTGTGCATTAATATATTTTGAAGATGATCAGCTTACATTTGCCATGGCCAATATTTATCTCTTAATTGACATCTCTTTAAAAACCGATATATTGTCATTACCATTTTGCTGTCTGTGCAAGCTTCATGTGTGCAAATTAGCTACTACACCCTGAGACAGGTACCCTGGAGGATGTATCAGAGGTGGATTCCTGTGTTCAGGTTTTTTTTTTGTGGGGTAGGGGATGTCTACTGGTTAGGAGCAGCACTGGGGTCTGTGATTTCTGTACCTGGCCTTGGTAGATACATATCAAATATACTTGGTTGACTGTAAAGCTTTGTCATATCCTGTGCTAAGAAAGATGTTTATACTTTTCTCTGGTTAATGGCATGTGCCTGGACTGTGCTTGGGTCACTGGACATGGTCCCTATGCCATACTGGAAATTGCTAGTGAAGATGTTTATTTGCAGACATTCCACTTGCCTCATAATAGCTTTTCCAGTTGGCATCTGGATTATGAATGGAAGGCAGTTTGCCTTGACCTTTGCAACCTTGATTCATTGAGTGCAAACAGAAGGAGGCCAGTCAGGAAGGGCTGTGGAAAATGAGCGTTTTACTTTTCTTTTACATTTATGCCTTGGTGTTGGCTGCTGCAAGAATAATTCTTTGTCGTCTAACTCTATTTTGATACCCAAGAGCCCATCCCCTTCCCCTTATGAGTTTTCTCAGTTATTGTTGGCAAATGATTTGTCTGCAGAATGTATCATCATCAAACTGAAGCTTGTTCTTACTCAATCTCCACACACAACTTCCTTCAGAAAGCAATCAACTTGTTACTTTATCTGTGATGATCCTGGTGGTAATCAAGTCCCATTATTCCACAAGCTGTCACAAATCTATAAGTGACCAGTTGAGTCATTACAATGGTTAATTTTCCTGACTTTGACTGCAATGTAGGGCAAAAGAAACTCTCAAGTTCTCATCAATAAACCAAAATTAGAAATTTATTTATTAGAAACAAATTTAACCTTTAACAAGTGGCAAAACAAATTTTCAACTTGTAATGTACAAACTTAAACTGAAGGTAAAGTCGCCATAGTCTTTGAGGACCACGGGGCTGCTCTCTCATTAGAGAGAGAGAGAGAGAGAGAGAGAGATGACTGGTGGTGGTTAAACATGAGGGAGACCATACTTGGGGGAGGGGAGAAGTTAAGAAGGAGAGTCTTTCATGGTACCTCAAAGTGTGCAGAACCTATGCTGTTGCCTGTCTGCATAGCAAACGACCTGTACAGCCAGTTGAGATTACCGACTCCCTTAAAACTTAAATTGTAACCCTTTAAACCCCAACACATTAATTCAAAAATAGAACAGACAAAACAGACAGCTCTGCAGATCTATCAGGGGCAGAAAACTTAGACCAAAAGGAACAAGTCCTTTGAATCAAGAGTCCAAACCACAGGGGTGGAACAAGATGACTTTCTCACAGTTCTTTTGGTTTTTAGTAATGATTGTTGTTACATTCTTGTCGACTGCAGTATAATAGAAGATTCTCAATTTGGCCATTGGTAAGTTGGACCTAGGTCTTTGCTTGAGTTAGAGTTCTTTTTTGTAGAGTCACAGAGAAAGATCCAGAGAGAGACCTTTACGTGCTTACAAACTTTCTGGAGGTTGCAGCCAATTTCCTTCTCAGGTCTGTTGCAGACTAATCTTAAACCAAAGGCACCTGGTGCTATCTTGTTTCTGTTAAGTGTCGAATCCAGCTTCTCCAAAAGTGACATGACTGTGACGAATAAATAAAGACCGCACAGTTCTACTTTTGACCTTTGAGTTGTAAAATAAAAACACACCCGGTAAATTTTCTGCAACACAGCAGTGAGCAGACATCCAATTTATCAGTTTATATTCCAAAACAAATGTTGTTATACATTTGTTTTTTCCAATTTCAGGGAACCTCAGTTTACAGCTTTTTCAATACAGACCCAGGGTCAAACCTGATATTTTTTAAGTATAAGTCAGGATGCAACAGTACAATGTATATATGGCTTTATGATGGCAGTAAGTGTACCTGACTACTGTGCCACTGGGTGACGTGATAGAAAACTAAACTTTCTTCTGTCTGGTGTCAACCTAGGTGCAGTGGTAGGAAAGTCCCTTCTATCTGGTAAGGTATTCTAGTACTGAAGGAGCGCAGTCTGAAGAGGCTACATTTCAGATCAGATGCTAAACCAAGATTCCACTATTAGTTCAAGTGGATATAGAACACCCCATAGCAGTATTCAAATAAGATCAGGAGGAGTTCTCCCCAACATCTGGGCCAAAGTTGGTGTGGTTTCAATTTGTGGGATTTTCCAATGCATATATTGACTGCTGTGTTTACCTACCCTACAGAAGAGGCTATACAAGAGGAGGATTGTACTCTTTCCTACAGGCTATCAAATGGTCCATGTCCTTGGAACTTGTTTAATGAATATGATTCATGGAACCTTGTGACTTCTTTTGCAGCTTGACATTAGTGTGCCAGTGGAGGTGGTCTTCGCAAGAGGCACATTGACGGCAGAACAACAGAAAAGGCTACTGCCACAGACTCAGTTTAGTCAGAAGATGAATCAGCTGGATGGTGAGTAAACGCAGCAGTAAACTGAAAATGGTGGCTCCTCGCTTATATGCTGATTGCAATAGTGTTGATGTTTGAACAGGTAAAGAAATGTTTGTCCCCACACTAATCCGTCATCCTCTTTGTATTATCGTGCCGTATAAACCAAGAAGATACCAACTTTGATTTCACAGTTTGTGCTGAGATTAATTGATCACCATAAGATAACAGAGCACAACAGTTGATCTTAGCTTTTGTCAAGGCTTTTGCCCCATATCACCATCCAGTGACTCCTGGTTTGGATGTGCATATGTGTGCTCTTCAAGTGATGATAGCCACAGATTCAGCTGTGTGATCTCTGCTGAAACTCTGAGGATTATCAGGGAGAAAGCATGAACAAAGTAAATATAAAGAGAATCTACTTTATACTGTTGATGCTAAAAATCCCTTTGTATTGTTCTCCCACATGTTAGTATAGAGTAAGTATAGTGCTCCCTGTGGTTCGCTACACTCAACGCATAAATTGAACCTGAACAATATGATTGGCAATTGTGTTGCTAAATCACTGTATAGTCAGGTTTATTTCTTGTACAAATTCTGTTTCACATCGTGTTGCTTTGTAAAATTTAAAACCCTGTACTTTCTCTCCCTCAGGTAAAACAGGCTTCAAGTATAGGTATGAGAAGACATACAGAGCTGCTACTGGCGTAGAACAAGATGCTATAATGGGTGAAAATGTGGAAGGTATAAGATTGCAGCTGTGTATCTTTTCTATATTGATTTTACTTCTGTCTCTATCTGTTGCACTTGCCTGAAATCCAAGTGAATCCTCTTTGTTTACATAGATACTGAGAGGATGAATTGAAGACTAAATGCCTGAGTTACCACTGTGATTGGCCACTGCAGTCAGTTGTTGGGAAATCTTTGGGAATGATTTAGGGAGACGACTGATACCTCTGGCAATAAGCCCTTCTCCACTGAGCTGATGCTGTGGTTTACATTGATTAACCAGAGACTTTAGCAACTTGTGACCAGAATGGTCCACTATTATGAGGCCTATTATAAACCTTAAAAGCATTGTGAGTATCCACTTTCAGGGTCCGTATTGGTATTTGTCATTCTGCTGTAACTTGCTTTACAGCACTGATCTGGGAAATCTATTGCAGAATTGAAGCCCTCCATCTGCCTGTGTAATGCAGCAGTTATTCCCTGGTTTCTTCTTATGAAAACCAATAGTTTCAGTCTTGCTAATATTTATTTGGAGGAAATTTCTGCTCATCCCTTATTGGCTCGTTGAGGGGACCAGGGAAGTAATAGTGAGATTGTGTTTTCAATATATATTAGGAACCTATTTTGGGTGACATCACTGAGGACTATCATGTATTTAAAAAAGATAGAAGGGGGTCAAGGATACATTCTTGGGAACTCCAGAGAGAACAGAAAGGCCCTGACCAGCTATCAACATACACGAATCTCATTTAAATATCGTTGCTCATTTAAATATATTGCTCACTGATTTTTCTCTGGCTGTTTGTCTGACTGCATCCATTTCAAAATTCTTACCCTTCATTTTAAATCCCTGTATGGCCTCATCCCTGGCAATCTCTGTAATCTCCTCCAACCCTTTAAGCCTTTGAGATCTCTCTGCTTCTATAATTCTGCCTCTTGAATATCCCTGATTTTAATAACTATGTCATTAGCAGCCGTGCTTTCAACTGCCTTGACTTTAAGCACTGGAATTCCCTCCTTATCATTGTTCTCTTTTTGAGATGATCCTTTAAACCTTTGATAATCTGGACCTGATTTCTCCTGCTGTGGCTTGTTACAAATGTTTCATTTATATTGCTCTTGTAAGCCCCTTGGGATTTATTTTAATTTAAGTATGCCAAAAATGTAATTTGTTGTAGATATTGCGTGAAATCAAAATTAACTGTCTCATTGAAAGGATGTTACTTCCACCTCCACCTCCATTTTCCATCTCCACCTTTGTCCCAGTCCACCTGACCGCCGAACCTTCCTTTTGTGTTTTTACGCATAGATATTGTGCTGTGCCAGTGTTCGCTTGGCTAACTTATCCCCAATCCTACATAAATGTAATAAAAAACTTTGCTAGTATCCTATAACTTATCGTCTCCTGCTCACTCACCACCCCCCGTGCATCCTGACATACTGTCTTCTAGCTACCACATGCTGCAAATTTAGATTTCCCATACTATGAAGTGCCTTGGAGCTAAATAAATGTGAGTTGTTGATGTTAAAATCCCTTCCTGGGTTTATCCCTCTATATCACTGTGATCTCTACAAACTTCCAGACCTAGGAAAGTGGATTAGTTAGATCCAGAATTGACTGAGCGGCAGGTAGCGGAAGGTGATGGTTGAGGGGTGTATTTGTGACTGGAAGCTTGTGTCCATCAGCGTTCCAAAGTGTTCAGTGACAGGGTATGTACAATGTTTGTGGTATGTACAAATTATTTAGTCATGAATGTAGAAGGGTTGGTTAGTGAGGTCATTGATAATGCAAAAATTGGTGGATGGAAAATAGTGGGGAGGATAACCTTAGATTACAGGCATCTGAAAAGAGAAACAACCGGATCAAGGTTCAGTTCGGGACTTAGCTGAAATCTTAAGCTGTTAACTTAATCTCAAACTGTTGTGGTGTAATTTGAACTCAGGTTTTTTTATTATTAGTCCAGGCCTGTATAATTTAACCACTTATTCCAAGGTGCACACTTAAAGAAGAGTTGTCTGCAGCCTGGGAAATACAAGTGGTCCACCTGCACTGTAGCTTCTGCTAAACATTAATCAACTACTCCACCTTGGCACCATGGTCAGCCCAGCTGATTGCTCACAAATGTTTAGTTTAGTTGTGAAATAGTTACGGAATGGTTCTATGTTCTTTTTGTTTTGTCATCCATCCCAGCTCCTCTTTCCTCAAGGAGTTGCATTTCTATGAAGGACAGTCCTTGAGCTTGATGATCCCTTAATCATGCCAGGTTGCTCACTTTAGAATTAAAAACAGGCAATGTGACTGTAGGAGCATCACCTCAAGATGACTCTTAAAAATCTTCCAAGAGAATTAACTGGATAGTGATTAATTATGCGAGTGGCAACCTGATTTGACTTTTCTCTCTTCCTCTCCCTCTCTTGATTTCTGTCTCAAAATGTATTAATTGTTTTTTTAATCCCTATTTTCTCGCTTTCTTTATTTCAGATGGCTAATGCTAATTCTGTTATTATTTCTCCTGTCCAGCCGGAATGTGCTTATTTGGAAAAGCAGATCAGGTGTTGAGACTGCCATGTTCTTCATCCATAGAGCTCTGTTTTGAAAAGCCTTTTTCCAACTGTGTCACTCATTTCAAAAGTAGAGATTCACTTTCTAGTCTAACTTCTTCTCTCTTCAATTTTCAGTGACAGTTGTCACGCTTTCCCGAGCTTATGAGAGCTCAGTAGGATCTGTGGTGATATACATTGTGCCTGCCGATTCCCAGCTTTTTCTGCAGGAGGTCAGTGTTTACATTGGGAAACACAGAGCTGCCTTCCTGCGCTCACCTGTGACTAGATCGCATACTGTGGCAGAGGTGCTTCAGGACATTGACGACAATGTGGAAGAGATCCTGCAAACAATGTCCTTCACTGATGACGTGGTGGTTGCAGCATTGTCAAGTCGCTTTCCCTCAGGAACGTTTGGCACTGACACCTTCACAGACAGCATGACAGCTTTTAAATCTAGTCTTGGTAAGAATTTCTGCTTTTTTATTGTTTGGTGCTGCACTTTTGTTCCTATCTCTCCTGAAGGTGTGGACTGTCACTGGGAGATAGTTTTATTGTTTGCAACTATGCCCTGGTATCTTGCCTGAAAACTTAATCAGTATGTCTGAGCCTAGACAGAACAGGAGCAATTTTAGATAACAAGGTGTAGAGCTGGATGAATACAGCAGGCCAAGCAGCATCAGAGGAGCAGGAAGGCTGACTTTTCGGGCCTACACCTTGTTATCTCAGATTGTCCAGCATGTGCAGTTCCTACTATCTTGAGCAATTTTAACCTGACTTAAGTTGAGCTAACTGTGGAATTGAATGCTGAGTATAAATCCTGCCCAGTACCACGCTTATAGGATATTTTGTAATGTAGTGTTGCACCTTATCCTGATAACTTAATAACTGGTGGGTTGGTTAAAAGTCCCCCAATATCTTAACAAGGACTTATGCTGGGGTGTATCACAGCAAACCCAATCTGCCCTTGCTTAACAGTCACATACACTGGCAAACTGGGTACAGGGCAGGCGTCCAGGCTGATATTCCCCTTCTATGCTCAGGAAGCAGGAAACAATTGTAGCCTTTCTCTTGAATCATCCCACAACGAAACGGCATATGAGCCACCCTCACTTGAGATCTCACAAATATAAACACAAACATACTGGAATTTTGCACAATTTCCCCTGGACCCTCACCTCTAATCTCATAACAAATACTCATAGATGATGGCAGTAATCATTCAGATATCTTACAGCTTAAATATTTTAATATATATATATTTCAAGACTGTGTAGAAAAACATTCTGCAAATAGCAACATGGCTGCATATGTGTTCATCTTAGCTCTGAAAATTGCCCTACCCTCATCTGTTAAATAACTGCAGTGTTCTATATATTAAATAATAGACTGACCAGCTTTATTAATTAGTGCATAAATACCATCAGCACCACAATCAGTGTTTGCTTTAATGATACATGTTGGTTTGTTTTGATGAACTGTATTTTTTTTACAATCTCCATGCAGGATATGAAATCACCTTCAGTTTGTTGAATCCTGATCCCAAATCCCACAACATTTGTTGGAGCATTGAACAAGCAGTGAATAATTATGTGCAACCCTTCCTGAACAAGCTGTCAATATTCGCTAACTTTTCTGTGGACTCTCAGGTAAGATTGTTCCTTAAACTGAAAGAGTTGGGGAGGTGATGGCCTAGTGGTATTAGCACTGGACTGTTAATCTAGAGACCCAGATAATGTTCTGGGGACTCGGGTTCAAATCCCACCATGGGAGATGGTAGAATTTGAATTCAATAAAAATATCTGGAATTAAGAACCTAATGATAACCGTGAATCCATTGTCGATTGTCAGGAAAAACCCATCTGGTTCACTAATGTCCTTTAGGGAAGGAAACTGCCATCCTTACCTGGTCTGGCCTACATGTTACTCCAGACCCACAGCAATGTAGTTGACTCTGAACTGCCCTCTGGGCAATTAGGGATGGGTAATAAATGGTGCCTGGCCAGCGACACCCTCATCCTGTTAATGAATAAAGGAAGAACTGGGCAGAAGGATGAATCCCTTACATCAGGACACCATCAAGGGTAAAATAAGTAGTGGAGAGTAGTAGTGGAGAAAACAAAGTAAATCAACAGGAAAGAGAATTTTATACAGTGTCTTTCATAATATCAGAGCATGATGTGGAGGTGCTGGTGTTGGACTGGGGTGGATGACATTGAACATCACACAACACCAGGTTATAGTCCAACAGGTTTATTTGAAGACACAAGCTTTTAGAGTCTTGATCCTTCTTCAGGTGTCACTGAGGCAGATGGCATCAGACACAATTTGTAAGCAAAAGATCAAAGGGCCATAGAACTGATGTGAACAAACCTAAGATGGCTGTTAAATCTTTAATCAGTTAGAAAGGATTAATATGCAAATCCCTGAATATCTTTCAAGTCACTGCCCCAAGATAACTAAAGATTTTATCAGTATACCAGAGGTGACATCTCGGGTCAGACAAAGCATTTTAGATGTGAGGCCTTATTTATAATCTGGCTGTGTATCAACTTGGAGTCAGACTGGTTTTATTCCAAAGTAGGAATTTATTATATGCCACATTGACTGTCTACAAATTGGGTGCTTTTTGAACAAAATAGAATGTATCTGCAATTACAAATCTGCAAATGCAAATTCACCCCATTGATTTATATGGGAGTGTGTGAGGAGAGAGTGTGTGTCAGGAGAGGGAGATGAGCGTGTGCGGGAGGAGAGTGAGAGCTCGTGCACAGGAGGGGGGCGGTGAGAGAGAGAGTGTGTGTGTGTGTGGGAGAAGCGGGTGGTGAGACATTGTATGCGTGTGAGGGGGAAGAGCGTGTGCGTGTGAGGGGGAAGAGCGTGTGCGTGCGTGTGAGGGGGAAGAGCGTGTGCGTGCGTGTGAGGGGGAAGAGCGTGTGCGTGC